CTATCACTGAAGACTACAAAAGATCATAAAAAATCACGTGCATCGTGGTATCGGAGATTTACAATTTTTAAAAATTCGCCAATAGTCACATCGCGCACACGCTTGGTAATATGAGTTTGAATTTCGAGCAAGATAAATATCGTCAAATAAATATTCATTTATTTAATACTTATGATATATTCATTTGCCCCGTAATATGAAAAAAGAAGGAAATTTATAAATCGTAAGAAGTCTACTGACATGAGTAATAATAACATTCATTATTATTTAATTTTTGTCTAGGGACAAATTAATTGTATCAAATTACTGCTTTTTCAAAACAGAAAAAAATGTATTTAATGACTTTTAAATGACTAGCAATTTTGGAGATAATTACATTTATAGATTAAAATGGAACACCCCGTATGAAAGAACAATAGCATAATAAAATAACAATAGAAAGCAAATATAGAAAAGGAAATTGTTATATAATGATACTATAGAAAAGAAAAGAAAAATAAAGAAGAAAATTCTTATATAATATTAATACAAAAAACGGAAAAAGTGAAATTACATTAAGTAACAGAAATTCTAAATTTAATTATTCGACGAGGTGGGAAACAAAATATTTATAAATGTAAATTAATAAATTAATATTACAAGTGTAGGTGTTAACAACACTAGTTTTAATATTATAAATAATTACATTATAATTAATATTGTAAACTTGGTTTCAATGTTATGAATAATTATATTGTAATTAATATTATAAACGTAGGTGTTGACAATTTCGTTTTCTATGTATGTAGAATTTAAATAATAAACAAAAAAACAAGTCGGGAATTCTTGTCGACATGAAGAAATTATATGGTGTAACATTTTTCGTGTTGACAAGTCCTAACGTCAAACTCGCTTCCCTAAAGGCCTCTTTGTCGTTTACTATTGTCACCTTGCTAGCTGACTCACGAATTTGTTTATTTTCTAAATTCAAAATAGAGTTCAGCATCGCTCTGCTGATCGACGCATCACTTTTACAGGGGAATAAAATAGTGACTCATACTTAAAATGTGATTGGCTATCATCGTCTAGCCGAAGCTTACAAAATTGTCTCGCGCGCAACGAAGAGGAGAATCTAGTCATGGTGAAACCGCTAATCAGTTAATCGCGAACAAAGTTGGTCAAGGAATACGTCTCAGTGAATGTAAGTATTAGTCACAATTGAGATGCAATTAAACCATCGGAAGCTGGCCGAAGCTATCAAATCGTTGTAGAAGAAAATTTTGAAAATTAAAGTCAGCGATTTAAATTAAAAATTTATTTCATTTCAAACACCGTGCATGATCTTTCGAAAACAATAAACATATATTCAAAAGTGTGCGATCGATACCAGTGAGTGATCTTGACACTAGGTAAGTAAACTAATACTATCAATTTATTTTTGTTTCATATTTGTTAAATTTTCATTTTTGTTACACGTAAGACAGATAGCAATAAATGTAATAATGACCGTGAAATAATTAACACGTGTTTTGGAAATTATGAGAGATAACGGGGAAACGTTGAAAATTTTAAATCAGCCGATTTCGATAATAATTGTCCAACTCGGATCGTTAAACTAAATATTACGAAAAACGTCGAGCTAACTTGTCCTCTCCGGTTAACAGGTTAATAGGAAGTTAGGCGAATTGCGTTCACTGGGGCAGGATATCAGTTGACCTTTCTCGAGGGGAATGAATTTTTTTTCCTTTCGCCGGAGGAAGAAGCTACGTTAGGGGATGAAACGTAGAAAAAAAAAGAGCAATCAACATCGACGAAACTAACAAAAAGACTTTTAGAAACTTTAGTGCGTAGAACGTGTCTAGAAAATTCGACGAAAAAAAGTATTTTACAACCTTCAAAGAATTAATATTTAATTAATTTGCACACGCTGGAAATTTTGTATTTTCGCTCTCTGCAATACTTTGCCGTCCGGAACTCTATTGATTTGCAAATTTTGTTTCTCCGCGATCTGCGATCATTCGACACTATTTACAAGAAAAACTGTCCTGCAATTGAAGGAGAATTCGAGCTGGAAAGTTCCGAGACAGGTTAGGCGTTCGTGCATTTCGATAGCTTGCCGAAAATTTCCCGCGATTTCAACATGGCGAATGACACGTCAGCGCAAGGGACGATGTTCCTCCGAGGATGAGTCTCCAGCTGGCGAAATTCGTACGAGCGAACGAGCGAAGCGTCGATCTCGCGGAACGTAGCGAAATCGAAACGAAGAGAATGAAGATGGCGTGAGAGAGTGAACGACGCGTCGCGACGCGCGGCAGGATCGCCGTCCACGAAAATTCCAGCGGAAACAGAGAGAAGAGCGAAGAGAGCCCGAACTTTCGAGTTTCGAAAAATCTCGTCGGATAGGGTTTCGCGTGTGCGAGGACACGGCGTCGGGGATACGAAACGCGCAAAGATTCCTGTGCCATGCGCGACTCTCTCCGTCTTTGTCTCTCTTTTTGTTGATTGCACGAAGAACAGAAGGACCAAAGAAGAAGAAGAAGAAGAAACAGGAACGAAGCCAGTGCAGGGCTGCGAGGGGTGGAGGGCGCGGAAGAAGGAGAAAAAGATAAAGAAGAAGAACAAACGATGGTTGGTCGTGGCAGAAGAAGAGACGCGCGCGAGAGAAACGAGAAACGAGAAACGAAGAGAGGAAACATTCGGCTTCCCACAGGATTCGTCGTCCTTTTGGACCAGAGAGTGACGAAGACGACCAGGCCGGCGAGTAAGAGAGAGAAAGTGAGAGAGAGAGAGAGAGAGAGAGAGAGTGAGTGAGTAAGAGAGGGAGAAGAGAACTGGAGGAACCCTTGGACTGTAACAGAAGTGCGGAGGGGTAAGGAAGAAATGGTGGGGGCAAGAAGCGCTCGACGTCTCAAATTTGGTTGGCTGTCTCGAGTTGTTTGCTTCCTTGTCGGGCCTGTCCTTTTCGTCTTCTTTCTCTGTCGCTCTGTCCGTGCTGTACATGGCTGCGTGAAGAGGGAGCTTTGGTCGAAGGTGCTAGGTGGGAAAGGGAAGTTGCCGTTGGTGAAAGGAGGAAAGACGGTGGTTGGAGGAACGTTCGAGAGAGAAGGAAGGGACGAGTGGTTAGAGCGAGAAAAGGGACGAAGGTTGTTGGATCGAAGGGAGAAAGATGTTATTCTGGTAAACCGTCGAAGGGGGGGGGTGAGACGGTGGTTGAGACAGAGTAGGAGAGAGCAGAGACTGGAGGAAAGATTGAAAGGAGAAAGTACGATCGGTCGAGTAACATTAAGAATGAAGAAGGAAGGAAGTGCGGCGTGGGAAAGAGAAAGAGGGAGTGAATGAGCGCGAAAGAGGGAGCGGCGGAGAAGGGTGGGGAAGAAGTGCGGAGGAGAGAGAGTGTAGATGGTTGGAAAGAGCGAATACGTGAGCTAGCAAGTGACGGCATAGAGGGGGCAGCGAAGTTGGCTCGGAAGGTATGGGGACACGACACGAGTATTGCCTTGGCGCGAGCCCGAGGAGAACTCGAAACTCCGAGCTGTGGAATTTCAACCTGCAGAACAGTGCGGACATTCGCGCTCTACGGGTGCGTCAGTGCATCAATAGAATAAAGAATAAAATAAAATAAAAAGAGTGAGAGAGAAGAAGAAGAAGAAGAGGAAGAGGGGAAGGAGTCTTCCGACCATCGCGTCGGAAAGAGTGCTACCGCAGAGAAGGAAGAAAGCGGTAGGCACGAGGTTCAAGACGGAGCAGTGTAACTATTTACACTAGCGGTTCGAAGTTCGAAGGATACATTGTTCGTTTCGTGTCTGCATTTATCGTTGTGGATTATTGATTGAAAATTTCGGATCTCAATTCGATGGTGATTTATCAGTGAGCGGCGAGAATCGACCGGTCAATTTCGGAGAACGCGTCGCTTTTCGTGTGGAAGATAACGCGGACGCGTTGTATCGTCAGTGAAGGTGAAAAGTGATAGATCGTGATATGACCGGTGATTCGGAAACGAAGATTTTCGGTTATCGTCGTATCACGTGAATTTGTTCGCCGACTACAGAAACAGTGACCAGTGACCGGAAATTGAGCGATCGAGAACCCAACGATGTAAATCGTACACGCGCCGTCATTGTTTGTTTATTTTTCTCGTTCTTTCATTTGCTTTTCTTCCGTCTGAAGCTCTCTTGCTCCGACAAATCCTCAGCATTCGGACATAGCGTTGGTGGACGCGGACTGATGCTGAGTGAGGAGAAGGCCGATGTTGTCGACGTGCATTGGAAGAGCCATTTAAAGACAGTTATTATTGTTGTTGCCACTGTTGGCGCATCGTCGAAGCGGTAGTGAGGTGCGACGATGCCGCACACAGTGATACAATCGGAATCGCACCAGGTGGGACAATCCGGATTGACCTGGACTTTGATACCCGGTGTGCGTTCAAGCATATGATAAATGTAGAACATGCTGTAATCCGCTTTTTTCCTTTTAGTTTCCTTTTTTTTCGATAATTCGTCTCGTAAATTCGACTGGCGAATGTTTGCATGTGACTCTGATTATCGTGTCGTTCTCGTCCATGTGCTGTCTTCGGGGAAAGCTGTATCGGCGCTCGTCGACTGGTAGAAGGGAGATGCGAGGCGTCGCGACGTAACGCGCGGTTCGAAACCTCGTGTCGTTATCCGTGTCCGGTCCTCTTGTCAAATCGAGAAAGTGAAGTAAAAATAACACGATATCAGGACAGATTGTTATCGAAACTCTGCGCGCGCGTGAGCGCGTGTACGCGCGCATGTGTGTCTGCATCACGTTCGTTTGAGTGCAACGTTGTGTAACGAGTCGTCTTCCCATCGTGTTCTAGAAAGAATAAAAGAAAAGAGAGAAACGAAAGAGACGAGAAGACGGCTTCTTTTCACGGAGAAAGAGAGAGAGAGAGAGAGGGAGAGAGAGAGAGAGAGAGAGAGAGAGAGAGAGAGAGAGGGAGAGAGAGAGAGTGAGTGGAAAAGAAGCGGTTCGTCTCAAAACGAGACGACAGTGAAACATGGAACGAAAAACAATATATAAGTGAAATGAGTATCGAGCAACAACAGCAACAACAACAATACGTTGCTAGTAGCTCAAATTTGGAGAATTATTGCAAGAACTGTGATGTTTACTTCGAAAGCGACAAGAGTCTTGACGTGCACCTGCGTTATCATCACGAGAACCTGTTAAGCCAGTGGGCGAGCGAAGCTCAACAGGAAGAGAGTAACAACAACAACAGTAAGGCCGGCAATCACAACAGTCACGTGGGCGTTAAGCGCGACAGTGTAACCGCGCCAGCGGACTCGAGTGAAACTATCCTGAAGCAGCCCTTGCACGATCCGACGTCATTGTCGCAAAAACCATCCACGCAGCAGCAGCAGCAGCAGCAGCCGTCGCAGCAACAGCAACAGGCTCAACAACAACAACAACAGCCGGGTGCAGCTGAAACTTATAATCAATTCCAGCCGTCGATGTTCAGCGAAACGAATTACGTCATGCAGAACGATCAGGCCTACATGATGCCCCATCACTATTCACCGCCGCGTGAAGATAACGGCGGTGGAAGTTACTCGCGTTACCATCCGTATCAACATCAACAACACTTCGTACCGGATCATACGAGTTCAGTGAGTTCGACCAGTCCGAGTAGTCCGCCCCTACAGTGCGACAAGTGTGGTGCAGTGTACGAAAACGCGAATCAGCTGGGTGAACACGTGAGGGCGAATCATTCGAATTCACCCAGTGGATATCCAGGACAGCATCAGTATCAGCAGCTGGGTAGCAGCCCGCAACAACAGAATCAACAGCAACAGCAGCAGATGCATCCGTCACCGCCGCAGTCTAGCCAGCAGCAACAACAGCCTGGCTACGACTACAACGGCGGGCAACCGGTGGAAATTGAGGCGAAACAGGAACCGGACGAACAGGCGGAAATTTTAGACCTGGATTCGCACAAGGTACAAACTCACAGATACGAGGAAGAGCTGATGCGGCTTCATCATCAGCAACACCATGAGCTGCATATGCAGATGCATCAGCAGCAAGTGATGCAACATCAGCAACAGCAGCGAGTCGGAACGCATTCGGTGAGTGCCATGCTGGGTTGGCCACCGGGTGCACAGCCGCACGACTATCATCCCGGTTTGTCGCCAATGGGCCCGTTGGACAGTGTTTCTTCTCTCTCGGATCAGGCCCAATTCATGCGAGGGCAGCACATGCCTGTCGAACCACAACGACATCCAGGCTCCCCAATCATTACGAGTACACAGCCGATACCGGTTCACCAAATGCCTGGAGGTCTTTTGCAACAACCACCGAAACCTCCACCTTTGGCTAATCAATCGTGGAAAAGTAACGAGGCGCGGCGGCCAAAGACCTATAACTGCACTGCGTGCAACAAGTGGTTCACCAGCTCGGGCCATCTGAAGAGGCACTATAACACGACGCTACATAAGAACGCGGTGAAACAGAGCAATCAGCCGGATCCAGCTAATTTGCCGATCAGCGCTCACCATCACCCTGGTAGAGAAAGCCATTCTGGTGGCAGAGGTGGAGGACCATCTAGATCGCCGGAGTTACCTTCTTCCGGGAGTCCCCCAAACTTGATGGCAGGTCCCTCGGGCGAGGCGGCGAGGGGCCTGCTCCACACGCCCACCACTGTTTACAACAGCAACAGCAACAACAACAACAATTCCAACAACAGCAACAGCAGCAGCAGCAGCGAATCTTCCGCGGTAACGGCTGCTCTAACGCAACCATCGCCTACGGCGGTCCACTTGGCCTCCACAATGGTACCGCCGCTCAATTCTCCGGTGGAATCACCGCTGGCGGGTCATCATCAACATCAAATGGGTTCATCGCCCCCTCAGCTGGGCCACCAACATCAACATCAACATCAACACCAGCAGCAGCAGCAGCAGCAACCGCAGCAGCAGCAGCAGCTTCATCAGCTGTCAATGGGTTCGCCATCGGGCCAACTTCATGTCCACCCCATGAATTCACCCATGCACCCACCACCGGCGCCCCACCTGAATTCACCTACGTCAATGGGCCCATCCCATCCACACCATCACATGAATTCTCCATCTGCCATAACGCCGAGCTCGGTCCACCCAGCAATGGCTTCGCCCACGGCAATGGGGGGTACTACGATGCCTCATCAGCCGTACCCAAACGCTTTGCCCCCCCACGTTATACCTACTACCAACATCCCGGGACTGCTGGAGTCTTTCACCATCCAACTAACTACTACTGGTAATGAGATGTCTTTTTCACTCACCGGACAATCTCAACATCAGCAGCAGTTACATCATCATGATCAACAGCAGCAGCAACAGCAGCAGCACCAGCAGCAGCAGCAGCAGCAGCAACAGCAGCAGCAACAGCAGCAACAAGAACAGGAACAACAGCAACAAGAACAGCAACAACAACAACAACAGCAGCAGCTGCAATGTCTGGACGTGTTACCCGGTTTTGGGACCTTTAGCAACCATCATCAAAGGTCTCTGCCGTGTTTCACTCAGTTCAACGTAGCCGGGTTTTTGATCGGCCAGAATCAACTGCAGGCCGTAAACGTGGGGGGGCTAAGTCCAGAGGAGAACGTATCTCCTCAGAATCGATCGTTCGAATCGACTGGATCCAACTATGATCCGTACAGTAACTCACCGCCTCAATACGAATCCCTTACCAACATGGACGTGAACATGCAGCCGAACACCGACGGCATGATCATCAAGCAGTACGAGATTCAAACCCATCACAATAATCAGCATCTGTTGCACCCGCTCCAGCAGTCTCAGGAGAATCTCGAGGCGAACAACAATCTGCCGCAACAGATGCGCGCGAAGAATCAATTGAGTTCGAGCCGAGACGGCAGACTATCGGCGAAGACTCCGAAATCGAAACGCATTTCTGTGATCACTAAGGAGCATCAGGTGACCAGTACCAACACCGGCTCGCACTACATTTCCGAGAACGGCTTTCACAAGTGCATCGAGTGCGACAAGTTCTTCAACAAGGCTTGCTACCTGACGCAACATAACAAGAGCTTCCACTCTGGCGACAAGCCGTTCAAATGCAATCAGTGCGGCAAGAGGTTCCCCCTCGAGTACCAGCACGCGGAGCACCTGCAGAAGCACGCCGGTGACAAGCCGTACAAGTGCGAGATATGTCCGAAGCAGTTCAACCACAAAACTGACCTCAGACGGCACATGTGCCTCCACACTGGCGAAAAGCCGTACGCCTGTGATACTTGCGGCAAGGGATTCATCAGAAAGGACCATATGATGAAGCATTACGAGACGCACAAAAAGAAGAACAACAACAACAACTATAACGTTCATCTGAGGACGTGATTCGAGACGAGGACTTGGAGGACCGAGCCACCAGAGCTAAACTCAAGGACTAAAAATCGTAAACAAATGGGGCAACGGTCGTTACTAGATGATCCATGCCAGCACGCATGGTGTTTTACTTGTGATTATCGATCGAAAGGTAAGATCGAATACCACGATCGGACGACACACTCGCTTTACGTTAATATATATCGAGCGAGATCGATCCACGTTGCGATTTCTCGAATCGATCTCTTCCGCTTTAAATACGATCAGAGAGACATTGGGACTCAAGTGCACGTGGTATATTTGAATTTAAGTTTCTATAATTTATTAATCGTAGTTTCTTAGTTATGTATATTATATGTATCCATTTCCTTCATTGTTCGACATTTTTGATTTCTGCCGGAACGAGAAGAAAAGAGAATAAAAAAAAAAAATGATTTAATATATCATACTTTTTTTGTCACGTTTTTCTTTGACCCGACAAAGGAATCGTTGATAATTTTATTTCCCCCGAGAAATTGGAACATAGTTTAAACACCATATCTCGTTTTCGAAATAAATCGCATTTTTTATTATTTCTTTTTTTTCGTTTTTTTCTCCTTTTCTTTATTATCTTTCTCGTGATTTACCAGAGATCTCGTTAAAGGAAGTCGCAATTCGATTTTGTCAAAGGAGAAATCACGGTACACGGAATGGAGAAAGAGTTCTCTCGTTGATCGCTCGATTCAGTGCATCGCGATTATTCCCCCTTTGAGAGATGAACGAGTCCTGCAACATAACAATCAGCAGAATAATCGTACGCCTAAACATGCAACAGTATTTTATACAATTGTTAAACTTCGACATTGTCCTTAAATGTCGTCTCCATTGTAATGGAGACCATCTGTTGTGACGTCGATCCTTCGAAGCTTAATTGTACAAAATACATGTCGATTATTGTACTGATTATTATCACTGTAATTATTAAATACGTATAATATTCGCCGGGCATCTGTTCACGGCAGCATCGCGTTCATTCTTCATCTTCTTTTTTTTTTTTCTTCTTCGTTTCTGTTTCTACTTCAACAATTGGAATCATTTCGAGTTTTAACACGTATTTGCGCGCACACGGTAAATAAACGTTGATCTGAAAATCATTTGGGACTTTAACGCTCAAGGCGAGTGCGATGAGGCGATAAGTTCGTCGGGCCTTTATTAAATTTATTACGATTTTAGTTAGCCCTGCCCGTTTTACAAGTAACAAACAAGTAAAATAATAAATTTAATAAAATGAAGAAATTTACACTGCGTTTATTATTTTCGTTGATCACACCTTTTAATCGATCGCCGAATCAGTCTTGAACGGTAGTCTGATGAACGTAATCTTTACGGAATTTTCTTCCTTTTTTCTCACGTTCAGGATGAAAGAAATTCATCTAATTTTCCGATTCGCTGACTGATTATGTTCGTCAAGCTTTAAGCAATAGCTTGATGAATGTAATCAGTTAGAGAATCGAAAAGTTGGATGAATTTCTTTCATCCTGAGCGTGAGAAAAAAAGAAGAAAATTTCCGAAAGATTATGTTCGTCAAATTATTGTTTAAGGCTGATTCGGCGATCAGCGCGATCAACGGAAATAATACGCATAAACACGGCGCAAACGCTTCCTCTTTATTAAATTTATTATCTTACTCGTCTGTTACTTGTAAAGCCAGCAGGGCTAACTAAATCGTTAATAAATTTAATAAAGGCCCGACGAGTTTATCTCCTTATCGTTCGATTTCTTTCGCCTTGGGCGTTAATGTTCCAAATGATTTTCAGATCGTTTATTCACCGTGTGCGCGCAAACACGTGTTCACGTGTGTAACTTGCTTGCGTATATCGAGTGTACCGCGTAACGAGCTGCGCGCACACCTCGAAGGGACATTTGCACAGGGATTAACTGCTGGATCAAGTCGTCTCTCTTCCTTGGGAAAAAGAGATATCCTATTATGGAAGCAGTTAATATCATCGTAACAGTTAATTCCGATAATTTGCATCATCGGACGTAACGCGAAATTTGGTTGCACTCTCCGGCTCGGGCAAACGACGCGTGCGAGAATCGACGAGGAAACGATGCCAGAGGCGAGAGAAGGCGTGCCATCTCTCGCCGTATTAAAGAAAGACGCGACGCTGCCAGTGAAAAAGAGAAAAAGAAAAAAAGAGAAGAGAAAGAAAAGACGATAAGTTATATTGCGTTATTAATATAGCACTCTTGCCATTTTTACTACGTAATAGGACACCCAGAACAGACTACCTCAGAGTTCAGGAATTTAACGATGAATGAAAGATAGAAAGAAAGAAAGAAAGAAAGAAAAGATGAAAGAGACAATGCAATAATAATAATGTTATTAAAGAGAATGTAAGCTGATCCGCGCAGCCGCGTGGGCGGGACAACGTACTCAAAATTACACCCGAGAAGTAATTCCATCGAATACACGCGATTCATGCTATGCGAAGAGGGAAAGTTCAATTTTTTTTTAATCCTTTTTTTTTTTCAATTTTTTTCTCACAGTGTAAGAGACGCGAAGTGAGAAAGAAATTCATTTCTCTTCGCTGATAGCAAAACTAAATATTCTTCCTAAGACAACTCGTAGCGTGTATCAATCGAATTACTTCTCTCGGAAATAATTTTGATTATAAGAAACTTTGTGACAGGGGAGGGGGGAGGGGGGAGGGGGAGGGTTTCTATTTAGGGAGCTGCACTTTCGTCTTTGCTTTTTGTCACAAAGTTCCTCGTGTCGCCTGCCGGTGTAACAGGGCATTATACGTATAATGCTCTAATATATACAGAAATAAATATATATTAGAGAATTATACGAATGATGGTGTATATAATGGTACTATTACGCACATAATGATTTCGTACGCATAGATTATTATTCATGAATAATAATCGATGTTTAATCAATGTCTATAATAGTCTGTTATTCATCTCTCATTCGTATAATGCTCTAATATATGTTTATTCTAATATAAATGAGAGAGAGAGAGAGAATGAGAGAGAGAGAGAGAGAGAGAGAAATCTGTAGAAGTTTTAGAACATATCAAACAGTATTACCGAACGCTCAGTTTTGTTATAAATAATCTTACACAGTTAAAAGAAAAAAAGGGACAAAAGATGGATAAGATACATATATCCTTGGTTTCCTTTATTTCAATCTGCTTTTTTTCCTTCTTCTTCTTTTTTTTTTTTTTTCCTTTTTTGCCTTGTCCGTTTCTCGACAGAATTAGAATTATTCACGTGTATACACGAACGCGAATGTTTAATTACACGTAAGAAGAAATATATATACAGATGTAAGCGCACACGCGCGTTCACACATTTCATCCATCCTCCCTCCTTTTTCTTTCCTCTTTCTCTTTCAACTTCACACGGTTATTTATAACAAAATAGTGTTTCATGCGATTATGAAATAAAATAAGTCGCGGACGTCTGTACGATGAAAAGGGGAGAAACGTATGTATATGGAGTTGTGATATCGCGAGAGAGAGGGATAAGAGGAGACGCGCTTACGGGAGTGCCCGAGCTCGCACTCCCGTCGACAAATTCCCGTTTTCTTTTTGCGTTCGCTTTGCACGGATACGAGTGCGAGTCGTATCCGCGATCCCGTTGCCGATCAATTTTCGTTAATATCGGGCCGTGCACGGTCGTGTGCGCGTGACTCTCACCGCGATATGTTCGCGGCGGGACGCGGGGTGAGAACCGTTCACGCATCATCACCACCCGGTGTGTTTCGCCCGCGTCCACGCCCCCGTCGAACCTCTTAAAATCTCCTCGTGTAATATTCCTCCCCCGACGCCAGTCTCTCGTCGCGCATTCCTAACCTTGGGCATTCTGTAATTTAATAAATTGTTGCGGACTCGGCGCGAGGCAACGCTCGGTTCGCGAACACCTCGTCCTCGTCGAAGCGGCTCTCTCGGGACGCGGAGCAACGGCCCGGTTGTATTGCGAATGCCGTCCGGCGTCCAACAACGGCCATCGTTTTTTACGAAAATTTCTTAATCCCCCGCGGCCTTTCCAGGAATCGTAACCAGTCAGTATTTCCAGCTTGGCACTCTCTCTAGACGCGAACTCGGCCGGATTCATATCGCGAGTCGCACGATTATTTCACGGCTGCAATCTGAATTGAGAAAAATCGATTTTCTGCCGATAGAAACGGGGAGGCGTGTGTGTGGTTGTTCCTTTCCTACGCGCGAATTATCTTAAATTGTTGGGCGAGCCTCGGACGATTGGAGATCTATGTGTCATTCGGGGATGAAGGATGTGTTACTGTCTGACAATCAGTATCAATTGTGTCACGTTACATCGTTCGGAATAAAAGTAAAACGGCAAATCAAGTCTGAAATATTTCTTTGTAAATCTCGATGGAAAATCCCAGAAGATAGTGCGACGAATAAAATTCATTTTCAAATAATTTGCAGAGAAAGGACAGCAGTAGCATGCTTCGTCCAGTGGAATGATCTCGATCCAATTCAATCGATGATCGCATACTATCGTCATTTTCGATGCGCTTACAAACGCTCAACAGGAACAACAGATCGATGAAAAATGTCTCGTTTCATCGATGCGCGATTATCGATTGTTGGCCCTCTGGTACTTCTTTCCGCGCGTGATCAACTTTCCCGCCTTTTTTTCACAGAAAAAGAAAAAAAAAAAAACGTCCCGAGAAGCTTAAAAGAGTAACGCGAAAAGCCAACGCTGGGTGATCGTGGATCGATGAAATGCCAATTTTCGCAGATGCATTTCTGTTCTGTCAAACAACAGCGAGAGTGGCGATAATTTGTGTACATGTGATCGTCGATTGAATTCGAGCTAATCGAAGCTTAACCTTCGAACGATGGATGGATGTTTTTCGTTCGTGAAAGTTTTTCGTTCGTTTGTTCCGCGTCCTAACGCAACGAGTCGCATCATTGTTAGACATAGGCAATACCTGATGATGAAGCAATACGTATATTGAATGCGAATTACATATCTACGATTTATTAAGATGGCGAGGATGAGAGAGAGAGAGAGAGAGAGAGAGAGAGAGAGAAAGCGAGAGAGCATGTCGAGAAAACCGGGAAAGAAAGATTGGAATGGAAAGTTTGAAGAAGATAGATAACGATATGCGGGAGAAAAAGCGATGATGAAATGATATAAAGGATGTTAGATGTAGTATATCATAATTGTATTAAACGTCTATTCGTTAAATTTTTATGTTTTTTAATTCGTTATGAACGAATGTTTTGGTAAATATATAAATAAATAAATCTATATATATATATTTAAATTTTAAGATATTAATTATAAATAGTAATCAACGAGCTACGTGGCGGCCGCGATTCACTTGCGCGTCACGCACCCACGAAATTCATTCCGCGATCTTTTTAAAACATTGACATCCTACCAATCAGACAATCGAAGTCTACGTACGTATCCAGAATTTTTTTAATCGTCACTCGATGAAACGATTCGCTTGGAAGTGTCCGTTCTAATTCTTTCTTTCTTCTTCAACACGGAAGGTTCGCAGAAATATTGTATATTGTATCGATGTATACCTCTTCGATTTATTTTATCAACGTTATAACGATTAATCGTATGTTAAAATTTCAAAGATGTAAAATAAATGATTTTTTTGATAAAGGTAATTGATTGAAACAGCTGTGTATTCACGAAAGCGGCTGAAACGTTCGTGTCGAGAAGGAGATCTTTGCGCACCGGATCATCGAATTTTTTCCCCCCTTCCCCCCCACGTTGAAGAAAACGAACAAACGATAGAAAGTGTTGCGACGCGCTGAGATATAAATTACTAATAGCTAGTAACTGGAGAGAAATGTCACCGAAAGCCATCCAATCGCGATTCAAACGAGACAATTCTGTGCCCGTGGAAGAGAAAAATGATGAGATATAAGCGAAAATGAAGTGCTCATCCCGATTCTACCGTCGGTTTATTTATATATATATATATATATATATACATATATATATAAAAAAAGAATTAAAAAATAAAAGTGAAAAAAAAACACGTAATTGTCCTTCCGTAAGTTCACTGCCGCCACGAAAAAGAAGGAAAATAACGACGAAGCAGAGAAAACGATAGAAAGGAAAGAAAATGAAAATCGATCGACTTACGTAGGCGCGCGTAGGGATTCGTATACAGGTGGCACAACCGATCGTCTTCGGCCCTTTGTGTACGTGTCTGATACGGTGTTGATTACGTACTCGACGAACGCCATACACAAGTACCTCATGATACAAAAACACATGTACAAATGTTCATACATTTTCAAAATATTAGCTAATTAATAAATAATTAATATCCAGACTAGGATTC